ACTCTTCTATTACTTCTTACGAAAAATGAACTTAACTGCAATGGATTTAAGAATTTTTATCTAAATTATTTTTCAACTATTTTATATATCAAAATATATTTAACTATTAAAACTATTATTATCAAAATGCAAACTTATTTTCAACTATGTCAAACTATTCTACATTCTAAATATCGAAGCTTTCCTTAAAATAATACAGACAAAGGAACATAGGCAATCAAATTTCCAAATATATTTACATTAGTTTAAAAAAAATACATTTATTGAAGACAAAGACATAAAATCAATTTTCAAGTAATGTAGAAAATCATATTCGAAGTAAATCTATAGATCTTGCAAGTTCAATAATTAAATTATTTCTTTGTCTTGTTTTCGGAACAAGTTGTATTCTAAATAGATAAAATATTGCGACTTCATTATTCCTTTTTCGATCAAGGATCTGAAGTTGATAATACTAAACCTAAATAACCATGCTGAGGATATTCAAGCACGAATATATCTATTTTATTTTGTATGGAAATATATTTTTACAAGATTTGACAATAAAACAGACATGATATAAATCTTACCATGTATTTTACGTTCCTATAAATATTTTTTATCTATGCAAATATTCTAAAATTTAGTTCTGTATTCTTTAGTTCTCGGATTAAAGGAGACTTCACTGATAGTAAGCATTTTTTTCGCATTTATTATGACCTTAAAGAAGAAAAAATATATTTATAACAGAAAATAAATAAATAAAAAAAGTGTAAAAACTCACTTTGCTCTATTTGGAAAGTAAATTCAAGTAGTGACTTGTGAACCTTTTTTTTTAGAACTTGCTAAGAGCATCTAAAGGAAATTTTTATGAGAGCCTTTATAATAGGATTTAAGCTCAGAAACTAGTAAGGGTTTTTTCCGAAAATTCTCACAATTTTGCAATGAGCTTGACAGTTACGAAGAATTTGAATTTTAGGACAAATCTTATTTGGTATTCTGGAAAATTTAGAAAGCAATATGTTTCCATTATTTGCCTTAAAAAAGTTAAACAAAGCGAACTTTTTACGCTGAAATCGTATATTTTTTTTCTTTAATACTTAAAAGTATATAATTACCTATCTAAAATTGATTGCATGAGGGACAGAATCCATCAAAATATTTCAGCGAAAGAACTTTACTTAATTTATACTCATGTTTAATGTAAACTCATTATTTGGAATATCTTCTTGTCATCTGATACAAAATGTTGCCATCCTAGACTTAGCCATTGACAACTCAAATAAAGTAAGAGTAATTTAAACCTTATTTCAAAATACCATAATTGTTGTCAAAATTGAAACAAAAATGTTTTAAATACCTGAAAAAGGTTTTTTCGATCATCTAAATCTATTTTAAATATATTATAGAAAAGAAAAAATATAAAAAATAAAAAATAAATAAATGAAAAATAAAAATTAATATTACAATTATTGGGATTATTATTATTGCAAATGCTTTCTTTAGTTATTCGAAATTGTTGTTATCTCTCTCATTTTTTTTTCCTTAATACCTCTAGTACCTTAGAACACCAGTTGGTCTGAATTTCTTGAATCATAGCCAAAACTGGCCAATATAGTACCAATATAGTACAGTTTGATGAATCAAACAGCAACATACCACAGATTATTAATTTCTGGCGTTCCATCATCCTTTCTGATTAAACAAACATTTTTCACCGGTACTGTGATGTTATATTATAATCTCGTTATTTTAGGCTCTCAANGTATCTTCTTGTCATCTGATACAAAATGCTACCATTCTAGACTTAGGCATTGACAACTCAAATAAAGTAAGAGTAATTTAAACCTTATTTCAAAATACCGTAATTGTTGTCAAAATTGAAACAAAAATGTTTTAAATACCTGAAAAAGGTTTTTTCGATCATCTAAATCTATTTTAAATATATTATAGGAAAGAAAAAATATAAAAAATAAAAAATAAATAAATGAAAAATAAAAATTAATATTACAATTACTAGGATTATTATTATTGCAAATGCTTTCTTTAGTTATTCTTTTATTATTTTATTGTTAGTGAATTTTTTGATAATATTATTGTTATGATTATTATTATTATTTATCGCGAAAGTGCATTGTAATCTATATTGAACTAATTGTCTGAAACTTTATTTGAAATTGTTGTTATCGTTATTTTAGGCTCTCAATTTTAGTTATGTTTTGTTATCATGATTATCACATTCATAGGCAATGACTATTTGTAAATATGTAATGTTTGTTAGAGTAGAAATATGAGTATTTATTTTCCCTGTCCATAACGATAATTTAAAAACGTAGGGGCGAAGGTGGGCTAGTTTGGACATGGATCTAGAATGGTTATCTTGAATAAGTATTTTTATTTATTTGTCAAATATCCTCTGTTAGACATCATAGATTGGTAACACTGATATACACTTCTGAAATGCAGTTGCATAATCACGCTGTGAATACTAAAAAAAGAAGTTTTTTAAGATGCAAAAGTATCTCTCCTTACTCTTTTATTTACATATTTTATTTTCAGAATGTCAACAATAGGTGACAATTTGTAATAAATTATAAAAATTTTCACTTATTTTGATAATAATTTCAGTTCTGTAAGAAATTCAGTTTCAGTTAACTAGGTTCAGGTATAAATAAACATTTGTCGCCGTGATGCTTGTGTAGACACATGGTGATAGAGCTAATGTAATGGAGTTATTAAAAGATAATTTTAGGAAGTATATTTTTTTTAAAATTTTTGTAAGGCATAAAACTAAAATAGAACATCATTGAAAGGTCCCGTCTTTTTTTTCGCAACTAGTTTACATTGATCCAATAATCATTTCTCCTGTTTTGTCCTTTCGCAGCATTTCCTCATTAAATTGGAACTATTGTTACTAAAATTGATTAAACTTGAAATTGGTTATGCGCTTTCAAATAAAGCTAATTGAATAATGGTTTACAAATGTTCTGGTTTACGTTCAACAAGTTTTTCTTAGTATAGGGAAAAGCTCCATCACAAATTAAATTTTTTTAACTCAATTATGTCAATATTCATTCTTTAATAAAGCTTGGATTGAAATTAATTTCACTTTGGATTTAGATACATTTTTCTGAGTTGCAATAAATGTCTTCTCAATACGTTATCAAATCTATTCATACTAGTCTCACAGCTCTTCCACACAAGCCCCATGTATATTGGTGTGAGAGTAGGCAAGCTAGTGAACATTATAAAAAAATAAATAAAATAATGTGTAAAAGCGAAAAATAAAACTTTATAATTCAATATATAAGCCAAAGTCCAAATTATTATTAAAAATATTTCAGGAGTTAAAATAATATTGAATATTGTTCTTTTAAAAAATTTGTAAGAAACGTGAGCACAAGCCCCTTCATCTCTACCTCAGATGAGATTTGAAGAAGTTAAGCTCGTGCAGCAAAAAAAAAATATTAATAAAGAAATAAAAAATAGAACACTATAAAAGGATTAGTTCACCATGGATCAGCAAACTAAATCCGGCAGCTTTTTCACTACCCAATACATTGTCTGAGATTCTTGAGCTATTATCTTTAGTCTAGATGCCATTTAAATTAAGAAAAAGGTAATATTTTCAAATTGGATTTATTTTATTTAAAAAAATATCAATTATTTCTGCTTGTAAAGAATGTAGTCATCGGTGTGAAAATAAATTAAATACAAAAGGTATTACGTGGTGTTAATGTTATTTTGAAATATTCCATGTTTTCTTCGATTGTTTTTATTTTTTGAATAATATTACTGAATTATTTTATTATTAATTTATTAATATTTTGTAGTTATTTGCTTTAAAACTCGAAGAATAAGTGATCAAAATCACATTTTGCCATGAAATAGCATTATTTATGTTTGCAAAGAACGCCATGATCAGCTTAAAAATAAAATGAAAAGGGTCAAATTTCGAAAAGTCTTGAATACAAATATAGGTACAGCTACTCCCGAAATGCAGCCCTAATATTTAAGAATATGTACTAATATAAAAGTATACTCAAGTTAAGCAAAGAAATTTTGTGATTTTGTTCTCTAACTTATTGTTAAAATTAAGGACTCGTTTCATGAATTTCATTGTTTGTTCTTTATTTTGTTTCACCAAAGTGTTTAATGAAAAAGCACCTCCAGCAATACATGTTAGTTGCGAATCAAAACATAAAGAAAAAGAGTTACTTACGTTAAGAGTTACTTATTAATTTTTATGTCTATTATAGTTCCAAGCATATTTTCCAAGCATATTTCACTTTATCTACTCAACCATTTAATTACCATAATTTTTTATTCAAGTACTCAAATTTATCAATACTACAATAGAGTTAAGGAGAGGAAATGTTTAATATAAACATTGGATTTATCTATTTTACTCACTATTTTTGAATAAAATATTAATAAATTTATTGAATTGTTTCAGACAAAGATTTCAAGCATGTGTAGCTAAAGTAAGAATGGCTGAAACACACTTTTGAATAACGTTTATTATAATTTAATTCATGATGCTTATGAAAGTGTCTTTACACATTTTTTTTAAATTTAATTAATTTCATTAGACTCGTTATCTTAGTTCAGCTAAATCAGTGGTTCCCAACCTTTTGTGGACCATCGCCCCCCTCTTGGGGTTGGCTGACACATATCGCCCCTTTCTCTTTTTGCTCAAAAAAGCATTCATTGTTGCTTGTGAGCAACCAAACACTGAAAATATGCAATGTTATTTGATTTTAATTCAAATTGCAATGCAAATAAGGAGGCACATTTATCCTGTCATTTTCATTAATTAGAAAAAAATTGTCTTTTTATTTTCAAAAACAAATGGTACTTAAAACGGAATAATCAAAGCAAAAGTACATTTTTTTAAAATTCTTATTTTAATGTAATCAGGAAAAAGTTAAAACATTAACAACTAAAATTTGAGAAAAAAAAATGAAGGTTGAGATAGTAAATTGTTACCACTTCAATGACTGCCCTGTGCTTGGTGTATTTCAAGTTAAAGCTTGAGTGTCAGGTTTTATGCTCCTCTGATTTAAATTTGGGTCTCCTTTGAAGCAAATGTCCAACCTTTCTCTTTGCATTGTGAGCAGCTGGAAGACAGAACTAAATCCTGTCTCTACTAAATATGTTGACGGGAACGAGATGAGAAGCGGCTCAGTTTGCTTCCACAATTGTGGATAAGTGTCCATAAGCTTTATCCAAGCTAACTCGTAACCGTATTCTTTAAAGATGACTTTAGCTTCACAGTCATACTTTAAATCTAAAATCTCAGTCTACAAAGAGGAAGTGAGCTTGTCCACAACTTCAAAAGAGAAAGGACATAAAATCCAATCCGGAATTTCTAATTTCATCAAATCTTTAAATCTTGATTCCATAACTGATCATGGTGATCAGTAAAAATTAGGATTTTATTTCCGAGAATCTCGATATCTGCCATTGAACACTTTTTAAGAGTTGGAAGTTGCATTAGCTCTTTGCGACCAATGTTTGACTTGTAGATATCAAACTTGGCGATGAATGAAGATATGATTCCCTTAGTCTTGATAATGTTTATTTTATTTCCTTGAAATTTTACGTTGATTTCCTTCATTTTTTCAAGACTATGAATGAGGTACGCAATTTCCAACTTGCGTTGCTTCAAACTCTCACTTAAAACAGGATCAGTGGTGTCGAGAAACTCAGTAACCGAATCCAGCAATTCGAAGAAACGGCTCAGTTTCCTTTTGAAAGCCATCTCACAGCTGTATGTAGGAGCAGGAATACGAAATCTTAATCATTTTCATGTCAAAGTTCTCGGAACAAACTGTTATTAGGAGAATTAGCTTTTATTTTACTGATGCCAGAAATAACCAATTTTTCGCAGCCAAAAGTTGACGATGAATGACGTAATGAATGGTGAGATAACTTCCGGTACTTCGTTTTTAAGGTGACCCAGAAACCCAGTATGACAACCAGACATGGTTGGAGCACCATCTGTTGCACAAGCACTTACATTTGTGAGGGGAATTTCTTTTACCTCAAAATAATCTTTGACCAATTTAAAAATCGACGATACTTTTGTATCTGTGTACAAAGTTCTTGTAAACAACATTTCCTCGCTAATCTCCTTACTCTCATTTATGAATCTGACGTAAGCTAAAACAGCTTTGTTATCTATCACAGTTGATTCATCAATCTGCAACGCAAATTTACCTTCTTTCAGAAATTTGTTGAGTTTTGATTCAATGTCGGCGGCCATCTCATCAATAGGCCTGGAAACAGTATTATTGCTCAGAGGAACAGAGTGACTTATCGGATTTCCGCCTTCGATACCAAAACGTATGACGAAAACGATCCTGCACTTGAATTTTTTTTAATTTTTATCTATCATAATTCTTTGTCTACACCAGAACCATAGATTTCATATATATTTTCAATTTCAATCTCAAATAGCTTTTATTATTAGTATTATTAGCAATTTTTATCTTTTGAGTACTCGTCGCCCCCTGATCGCCCCCCTAAGGATTATGGCGCCCTTGAGAAGCTCTATCACCCAATTTGGGGTGATCGCCCCCAGGTTGGGAACCACTGAGCTAAATCAATCACATTAAATATTATTTAATCATTGGTAATTTTTGTGTTTATAGGTTAAACTTATGCCAGTTTTACAATACAACTTAAATCACTTTGAAATTTTACAATTGAATTACGAAATCTTATATATAGAAGAGTTTTATTAAAATAAAAAATCATTTAAAACATCATTTTAAATGCTGTATTAATTTTTCTCCGTTGGTTTTTATTCAGGTAACCTCGCCTAACCTTTATTCGGCTAACATTGCGGCTAACCTTGATATTTTGAGGGTCAGAAATTTAAATCTTATTCAAATAAAAGGTGGGTTTATGCAGAAAAACTACACTTTTGTGTCTGTACGCTTTTGTTTTCGTAGATGAACACAAAGCCTACTTTAATGAACAAGAACTTTTAAGGTTAGGCTTTTTAAACACTAAGATTAAGAGTTTGTCGGCAAAACTCTTACCATTAGATCAAAGGTTATTTAATAGATTCACTTTTTTGAGCACTTTGCCCTAATGAATAATATAAAAATTTTTTCATTAATCATTTAAAAAGAAAAACATAGTTTGAAAACCACAAGACTGCTGAAAATTTATAATCTGTCATATAACAGAATTTTCTGCCTTGTTAAACACGACTTATTAATGGAGATTATTTTTATTGCTCCTCCATGTAATTTTTTATTGGGGAACATATATATATATANTTTTTTTAAACTTTTATTAAATATATTTATTAAGCTACTCTTTTCATGGTAATTTTCTTCTGGATTATTAGTTAATGTGTCTAACTGATATTACTGTTATTACGGATAATTAAAAAATTTCAATCCCCCTTTTTGCATTGCTATACGAAGTACTACCCAAATTATATATTGCAAAATTTTCTCTTGACAATTTTGTAGTGACAATTTTTAAATTCTATTATACTTCCTATAATCGCTAAAGATTTTGGTATACATAACAGAATGATTCACGGGCAAAATATTTTCACGGACAGAATATTTTGACTGCAATTAATGGAGCATAATCTGAAGATATATATATATATATATATATATATATGCTACCGGCAAAGTATGAAACGCCGGCATTCTATAGAATGCCTAAGCATTGTATATATTACCTAGGTATTCTATAGAATGACAAATGCTATTTAGGCAAAGTGTGAAAAATTCTGTCCTGATGAGGTTAATTATGCAAATTATGTGCATTTCTCAAAAAAAATTAATTCTGAAAAAATACTGAGAGTGCCATTAAAAAAATTTATTCGAAATGCGCAAAGAAAAATGAAAGATGAAAAATGATAAGGATAATTTATGTCTTTATTATGTTAAGGGAAACAAAATTTTCTTATAAAAAATAAGAAATTAACCTATTTGTTGCAACATGGCAGGCTTGAATGGCATTTCATTACATTATGAAATGAATCGGAGATGTATTTTATACTTTGCCGGTTTCTTATTTGGCATTCTATAGAATGCCTAGGAAATGTGTGAAATATAATTCATTCCATACATTGCCGGCTAGTTTTAGGCATATACAATGCCTAGGCATTCTATGGGCATTTCTCTAGGCATTTCAAACTTTGCCGGTAACATATATATATGTATATATATATATATATTTACAGAAGTTAATTGTTAATTTTTTTGCTGCTCATTAATTTCACATTCTGTCAGAAAAAAAATTCTCACTTCGAGTGGGGAGTGGCATACCCCGATTTTAACAAAATAGAAATAAATATTCTTTTCTAAAACGCTTATTTAAATCTTAAGAAAATCATCAATTAGTAGAAAGTCAGTTGCTAAATGTACTAAGGAATTTCGATTTCAAAATTTAGAAACATCCCACTTTTTCTTGGGTGAAATTCATATACGCAGGCCTCCTCCTGAGTTAAACTGACAAACTTTTAAAAAAATTACCTCGCAAGACTTACTTTTAAAAATTGTAATCCTTGCTTGAATTTTAAAACAACCATATTTTAATAACAAAGTCTTGTCTGATCAAAATTCTGATTTAAATATTTTTTTGAAAGATCGTTAGTTTGATAGCATTTTCTTAATAATAAATGACGACAATTTTCTGCGTTTTTCTATGCGTGTTACAAGAATGTAGATTCATTTTCGTCGTGAGCACTTTCAGAGGATGGAATTCGTTCAATTACTCGATAAATTAGTTCCTCTGTAGTTTTAATCAAACCTGAAATGAAAAGCTCTTCCAAACGAATATTATATTCGTTATACTAGAAGTCTCTAAGCAAATATGAAAAGTATTAAGTTAAACAATACTTAAACGATATATTAAATAAAAACATAAAGAAATGAAAAATACTAAACTTTAATCAACTTCGTAAAAAATTTAGAAATGTTATTGTAAAATAAGGTAACAATTTTATTACACAATATTCAAGAGCACGTCACAAAATATATACTTCCCAGAAAAATCCACCATAAAGAGCAAGATAATTATTTGATTCCATCGTATAACTTACAGCTGGTCTTGACATATTTACTTATCTCATTACGGTGGCTCAAGTCAGAGTTCAAGTAAGACTACCCCAGTTATTACAGGAGCAAACACAGTAAGGTAGGTGGGAGTATGAGTTTTTATTTTATTATCTGATGTCTCTTTTCAGTGAAAAAATGTCTTATAATACTTATTTGTAACATTCAGTTTTAACAGAAATTGATTATGGGATATTCAGATAAAATGTGTTTTAATAATTACATCTGCATACATTAAATAAAGAACAAAAACTTAAGTTAATAAAAGTAATGAATTTCTGCAAATTAGTGTTTTTTTAGTGAATAATTTATAAGAGTTCGTCTTATTTAAGAGATTTTAAAGAACCCTTTGAAAAAAAAGAATCATGCTTTCTATGGAAAAAGCCTGCTGGTTTCTTACAGTGAAGCGTAATATGCCGTTGGAATCAATTTATCGTTCATAATTCGTTAGGACGACTGTTTCTTGTGGGCATAATTCGGTACGAAAGCAATTCATCGAAGTCACAACTCATAGTGGACACAATTCATAGCAAGTACAATTCATCGCCGGCATGATTCGTCGAGTCTCAAATTTGCGTCTTACAAGTGGGCGGATGGTATAGGCAATGCTTGCATAAGACACTGAAATCTCCTTATTGCCATTTATTTTATGTATAAAAAGATTGTTGTGGCTAATCCTTAGCGATTAATAAATCTCAAAAATATATTTTTAGCTATTATTACTTCCAGATTTTCTAGATTGTAAAAATTATTTTTTTTAAATTTACTACTTCTTGAAAATAAATATTTTGTAAATATTTTTTTCTTATTTTTACTTCATTTGATTTTAGTTTTTCCAGCTGTAATTTTTGAATTCAGAAAAAGAGACGAAAATGCTAAATTTAGTTATCACATACGAAAATGAAAGATTTTCAGAACAAAAATATGCGTTTCACTCAGAAACTGGATCTTTTTAAGGTACGAGAAGAGTAAAAACTTCAAGCAAAAATAAAATGAAAAATTCTTGTTAAATTTTTGCTTTGCGTGCCAGTTACATTTCTGGAAGAAGAGAAAAAAAACATAATTCTGGTTTTAAAAAACCAATAAATCAGGGTGAGGTATAATTCATGCTCCAGATTAAAAGAAAAGTGTTTAAAAATCCTAGTATAATCATCTAATATAAAATAATTAAAGGAAATGGTGTGACGGAAATATACAACATCATGCAAATTTACATGTTAAGCTCAGCATAAAATAATTAAAAAAATAAAGTAACTTCGTATCATTTTTATTCCTTATGATAGAAATGACTGGAACAGCCGGTTTTTAGACTTACCTAAAACAGCCATTTAGAGTCAATTTGATCCTCATCGAAAATTTATGCATTTTTAAAGTATATGGTTTTTTTAAATGATGAATATTACTGAAAATACAATTTGTAAGACCTTCAAAGATTACCCTTTTTGTTAACGCAATGACAATATAACAATACAGTATAGTATGTAATAATGTATTAGGGATTATTCTTTCGCAAGAGTGCAAGTAATACGAAAATAAACAAATAACATGGATGAAAATAATACTCATTAGTACATAATATGGTTATAAAATGTTAAGTTCCATCTTTCGTTTGACGTTTGCGTAGGCGTATACAATATAGTATATCCACGTGACAGGAAAGTGACAAAAAAGTACAGTCAAATTGCTTTCTAACATTCTTTTCAATCTGAGCCTTGCGATGTTAAAAGGCATGTTTCTTATATTTCAGAGACAGAATTTTATCTATTAGAGGCTGATGCCGTAAGTTCTAATTTGTAGTTCTTAAACAAAAGCAAATTCGCAATGTGTAATTGGGGGGAGGAGGGAGGGATTCCTTAAAAACAATTCAAGCATTGAGGACAGCAATATCACTAACGCTGTAAAGAATGTATGGCACCAACAAGTTTTGTCACTTGTAGAAGAATTCCTTAGCATCTAGTCAGCTAAACCTATGTCACATTTCGCACTATTATTGTAAGTGACAGTTTTTGACCTTTACTTTGTACTATCATTTGCAAACGCACTCGCAAGAATAATATTCAGAATCGTGGTTCGCTTATCATTTTGAAACCTTCATAGTAAGTATTTAGTCTTTATTTTGCAGTGCAATAGATTAATGTTTTGACAGAGAAGTGAGACTGAAATTAGGGGTAAATTT